TTGTACTATTTTTCACATAAAAACTGTTAAGAAAAATAATTACCATTTGAACAAGAGGGTTCAGTGATCTCTACTAATAGGTTTCAGGCAGTTCTGCAGTAAGGCTCTGTGCTAGACCCATCCATTACCTAGCAGAATAGGTTGATGTAAGAATACCATGTATTATGTGCAAAGTCACAGAGTTTAGACTCTGTATTTTGTATTTTTATTTGTATTTTTGTACTTTAACTACTTTATGTAGTTTATTTGTATCTATGTACAATTACATTTAAAAACTGTTAATGAAAGCAAGCACTGTTATCTACATCATAAAGATAAACATATCAAAACAAGCATGGTGGGGCAGTATAACACACAAAAGCATTATCAATATCAGAACTCATTGTTTTTACCACCTTCAGCTCTGGGTTTCCAGTACTTTAAAGTCTTGTGGTAGGAACCTTTTTGCTGCCATCTTTGTATAAATGTTACGTTTCTGACTGGCTAGGAAAGAAAAGGACATGTTCTAGTGAAGTACAAAGATTTTTACGGAAGACCGACCTCTGTCCTCTGATGAAAATGCTTTAGTGGGAGAGGGCAAGGATGGTCAGAGAAGAAGGGGCTGGGATCCTCCTTGCACTTGGAGTTCCTCTGCTGGGTTTTACTTTGGTTTCCTGCTATTGCAAATGAAAAATCAGCATTGTTCTTTTAGTCCATCATGTTGTATTCTTAAAGAAATGTAGTTTATAGAATGAGGACTGAATACTGTGCACACACATGCACATTAAAAAAATATTGCCAGTTCTTTTGAAAATAGGAGAAGGCTGTATGTAGCATGGAACTGGAGCAGAAGGAAGATGAGGGGGATAGTGCTTATTGCAGATGAGTGCACAAAATGGCCAGATAATAATAAGTTATCAGACACCAATACTTTTAAATAAATTGTCAAGCTACTTTAACCTCCTTATCATAGTTTATCATAGTTTACCATCCCTGATCACTATCCTAGTGAATATTAGTTAGGAGTTTATTAGAGGTTAAGCACAGAGGTGCTCTGGGGTCAGGCGGGCTCACATGCTTGTGGTGAGCAGGCAGGATAAGGTTTCCTTCTAATTTCTATAGGACAAATGAGGCTCAGAGATTCTGTTACATTTTTTAATCTGTCTCTGCCTTAGAAAACCTGGACATGGGTAGATCCAAAAGAAATGACCTTGCTGACATTTCTGCTTATGATCCCACATAGAAGCAGAAAGCCTGAAAGCATCTAAAAATTGAGGGTGGGAGGTGGGGGGAGTGATTCATTACTTCTGAACTACAGAGTATGGTGTTAGGCTGAAGGCTTGCTTTGCTTTGAGCCCATCTGTCATCCCTAGCTCCTGCTGGTGTGTAGAGCAGATGTATCCCTTACTATTTTCAGTGTATAGTTTGGGCCACAGTTCAGCAAGGAATGTCACTGTGCTGGATTTAATGCAGTGGAGTTATAATTTTTAAGAAGAAGTGGAGCTCCTCAGAGGCTTAGAGTTAGCTGGTGCATCAAACTTTTGCATGTTTGGGACTTCAATAAAATAAGTTAAGGAGCAAGGGAAGCTGCTTTTGAGATAAAAGCATGACATAAGTGACTGTTCAGATGAAGAGATGAGGGGCTGAGAATGGGTGGGAGGAAAGAAAACAGAGAAGGATTGTTTAAAAAATGTTACTGAGACCTGAGCAGCTGACTGACTTTATTTCCTACAGACTTTCGCCCTGTTTGTTATGAGGAACCCCAACACTGGTGCTCAGTTGCCTACTATGAACTCAACAACCGTGTAGGGGAGACTTTCCAGGCTTCCTCTCGAAGCATCCTTATAGATGGATTTACAGATCCCTCAAATAACAAAAACAGGTTCTGCCTGGGTCTTCTCTCAAATGTAAACCGCAACTCTACTATAGAAAACACAAGGAGACACATAGGAAAAGGTAAGAGGAAATCTCTTCTCAGGAATATTCAAAACTCAGAAGATCTACACATTGCATTAACAAACCTATCTGATTTGTCAAATGTGCTTATCTTAAAATAAAAGCTCTGAGATTATTCTGAAATAAAAGAAAAGCAGCTGATTCTTTTCTGACTGGATAGCAATCAGCAGAGTAACTCCTTATAAAAGTGATTTACTTGGCCAGTGAAGAGAAAAATGTTGTTTATAGTTAAGTGTTCTAATTTAGCAGCATGTATTTTCATTTTATATATTAGAGCTTCTGGCAACTGGGAATATTGCCATTGAAATGCCACTACAAGGCTACTTGCTGGTGCCTCAGTGCTGGTTCTCCTCCTACCAAATAACAAAGGGAGATGGATGAAACAGTAGTTGAGTTACTTAGCTGAAGAACTCTACCAGAGTTGTCTTTGCAGCTCCCCCTCACCCCTCTGCCCCTTACTGCCACCACCAGTCTGATTCCCTGCTTTGCCAGCTTTTCACCAGTAAAACCAGTTCTCCCACCAGTGGTTTTCTTTGTATGCTCCACTTCTGGTGCACAGCATGCAGAATCATATGCTGCCAGTGAGAGACCACACCTGGGCATGTGTGGCCACACATCGTCTGTCCCAGCTCACTGGGGCTGTGTAGGGCCTGATACTCTCCCAGAACTTACTGTTGTTTGTGATGGTGAGTCAGAAGCCCTGTGCCAGCCACTTCTACATGCAGATGAAGCTTTTCATGTTCTGGTATATCCAGTCTAGACTCATTATCTTGCCAACCCAGCCTCGCACCAGTAGCTACCTGGGAATGTATTTCCCACTGGTCTAATTAACTCTAATTGTTCCACTGCTATTATCTTGTCAACCTCACCTCATTTCCCAGGCCTAGAGCAGTATTTTAATTGGCTCTTGATAGTCTAGCGTTGAATGACTGAATACAAGGAAAGCTCTGAGACAAATGTGATACAGTTTTTGCAAACAGCAGTGAATCTGAAGGCTGGTGCAGGAGATGATGTGCTTCACTCTTGCACTTTTCTCTGGGAGGGAAAGCACTTGTGTTGCAGATGCATTGTGTGAAGCCAGTTTGATGCTACAAGTGTCTGTCATAGTGGTTCGCTGTGAGAGGTGCAAATGTTTTGTACATCTAGTTCTAACTTAGTAAATAAAGCAAAGCTTCCCTATCAGTCTAAGTTGTCAGAGGGATGTAGATGAAAGATGAGCCTGACCCTAAAACAATGACAAAAGATCCCAGCTGTCCTTTGAGGATCTTACATCCTGTGACTTTCTGCCCCAAAAGAGGAAGAGACAGAACAGAAATAAAACTAGGTAAATGCTAATGGTCTTCATCCATTTAAACTTGAAGATCTGTCTTCATTGCTTAAAAAGTCCTTTAAAGTGCTACACTAGGAATCTGCCCAAGGGAAGGGAGCAGGTTGCCCACAGAGGAGTTTAGTAATCAGAGATCCTTGATTTTACTGCTCTTGCCTGTTTATGCAAATCTTAAAAAAACATATACAAGTGGAGTGCAAGTGGCACCAGCACAAGCCTGCAGAAGAGCATAAAAAGGCTCCAAAATGTGTAGTTCAAAGGCATGGTGGACAGATGAAAGCTGCTGAAATGGATACAATGGTCACATGTTAACAGGGGAGAAAAAAGAGTGAGTAAACAAGATTAGCTCAGTAGGATAAGATATGTGATTGAATTGTCATCTAGTGTATCAGCGTGAAACGGTTTCCTGGAAATACCACATCAAAGCTAAAAACAATCCAGAACACAATGCAACATCTACTAGCAATTGGACCTGTTTCAGTAGTCAGACTTCAAGGACAAAAAAGGGACTTTTGATCAGTGTCAAAAAGATGTGGATGCTTGGAGGCTGCAGAATTTCCAGTTTCTGCATGGAGCAGTGAAATCCCACTAAAACATATGGACCCTTGATTTGGTCTTCTACAAATATGTATCTAACAGCTTGGTTTCCTTGAAGGTGCTTTCCTCTGGTAAATGAATACTAGAAGAATAGAAATACATACTGATATTTCATTACTGCTGTATTTATTACTTTTAAAAAGTCCGCAAGGAAAAAGCAATTTGTAGCATCTGCTTTTGGGACTGACATTGGTGGTTTTGTTACTATAGCACACTGTTTGGGAAATGCCTTTGAAAGCATTAATTTTTTTCAGAAAATGGGTTACTCAATATACTTCAAAAAAACAGCCTTTAAAATTTTTCACCTTAGGACCATAAAGTGTGGTGACCCTAAATCAGTAGCCACACTTGAAGATTTGAAATGTGGTGAATATTTATGTCCTTATTCTTCTCTCCTTGCCCTCTGTTCTTACTCTATCTGATTATTTCATAAAGTTATATGAACTCCATCAAGGTCCTTCATGTTTTCAGTCATTCCCTTTTATGCATTTCCAAGGTAAGGAAAGGAGAGTAGGTCAAGTAACAGCAGTCACAGTGTGCAGCACCCCACAGTGTCCGGTATGGTCGTAGTGAACCTGAGGACTGGTGGAATGGAGCGGTCCCCTCCCCTATCCCCTGTGTTCCCAGTGAAGCACCAGTGTGTGTTTTGAGCCACACCCCCACCACTTGCATCTCATTTGAGATCTTGTGGATGCATAGAAGTCGAGTGGTGGCTTGAAGACAGACTTTAAGGTTTCTGTCTTAGTCACCCTAGAAAACTGTGGGAGAACATATTTTTCCCAGATTCCTTTCCCACTCAACCTGCTTTTCCCTGAGCCTTTCCCACTTCTGTTTAGAGGCTGGTTTTGTCCTAAGGATGTGCTGGGAACACACATGAACAGACTGGGAATATGTAACCAGTCTTTTTTTATGAAAGACACCAGGAATAAAAGTAATTTCAACTGCATTATTAAAGCATAGTTATCACTAGCTTTGCAGACAGTCCACTGAGGCTCTGTGAAAATGTGCATTTGTATGTAAGCGTTTAAATGTGGGAATAGAGAGGAAGATTTTACATTTATTTAGTGGTGTTTTTTATGAGAACAAAGAACTGAGCTCTTCCACCTCTCTTGACCATGGGAGGGGTTCATTTCCCCTAATCCAGCCATGGGAAAGGTGACTTCCTGGGCATTTTCACAGGATGACTTGGCCCCTTTCAGGGTATGGCTTCATGCTCATGTTTAAGTGGGCTGGATCCCTATTGCCACGCTTGCACTGATGAAGATCTCACTGCAAACAAATTTTGTTTTGTTTTGTTCATTTTTAAGTTTATTAGCTGGTTCCCAATCCTCAGCCACTGTTGCCAGCATGAAAGCAGGAGAAGAAACAGCAGGGGCGGGGAATGGGAGAGCCTTTTCAGCACCTGCACAGACTTCCATGGGGTTAAGCTGGCTGTGAGCCTGAACTCTGTAGCGGATGCAGTGAATCGTCTGGTCACAGTCCCTCTCATCAGTTAGGGAAGGCGTCTACACCATTAGCTTACACAAGATCCCTAACTTTAGGGTTGCTGAATTAGGCTAAGATAAATTCTCACACCACTTTAGGTATATTTTCATGCAAGCAGATATCCTGAGGGGATCAGACTATTTGAATGGATAGAAGTGCTTCCACCTTCATTTCCCTAAGGCACAGTAAAAATTTGAAGGTTAGTGTTGGTAAGTCACTTGGGCACTGGAAAGTTCAGAATAAAATCAGTCCTTTTCTTGCTAAAGGTCACTTGGAACAGGATCTGATGAGTCAGTCACATCATGTAAATGCAAATACTCAGTTCTGATGTGACGGATAAAGCAAAATACAGAAAAGCTATTTTAAGTACACACTATGCTGTGTTTTAACTGTATGACATAGGATCCTGTAGTAAAATAACAGCGTGCAGTGAAGTGGGTTTTGGTTAGCGTGCATGTGCTCAACAGAGAAAGTACACTTAGATATGTAATCTAATACTGATTTTTCAGTTCTTGGATAGTTTTGATTCATGCTTTGTATACGGTTGACGTGTTTGATATTTATGTATTTGTATAGGTATGTGTGTCTTGTCATAAAACACTGTGCTGTTGGGTAAAAGAAGTAAACCAAGTTTCACCGAGAAACAAAAATACCACCTTCCAAGACTTTTTTCTCCTAGACCAGTACCTCAAAATAGTGTTTATGATGACATTTTCCTCCTAATGTTGGTGGTCCCTTGTACAGTACATGGATATGCACACGTTTTACTATCTTCTAAAAGGTAATGCGTATCTGCATTGATCCTGGGTTTGTATGCCAGGATAAAAGAAAAAATTACCCATGTCAAGTGTGAACACATTATATTTTCTTTTTCAAGGTGTTCATCTTTACTACGTTGGTGGGGAAGTTTATGCTGAATGTGTCAGTGACAGCAGTATTTTTGTGCAAAGCCGCAACTGTAACTACCAGCATGGTTTCCACCCAGCCACTGTCTGCAAGATCCCCAGTGGCTGCAGCCTCAAGATCTTCAACAACCAGCTCTTCGCCCAGCTGCTTGCCCAGTCAGTCAATCATGGTTTTGAAGTGGTGTATGAGCTGACCAAGATGTGTACTATTCGAATGAGCTTTGTTAAAGTAAGGATTCTTTGTTTTTGCTTGCATTTCTGAAAAGGCAAATCCCATTACTTTGTAGCTCCCATCAAATCATTTCTGAAGCAATTCAGACTGCCTCTTTTCCAGTATTGCCCTAAACTTCTAGGTGCTTACAATCATTAGTTTTGAGGTCAACCTGGAAATCCCTTAGATTCCAAAATTTGGGTATTCCATAGGCTCTCTGTGGAAAATAGGCAGAGAATGCATGGTGGAGTTCCCCCATTGACTGGACAAAAAGCTCAACTTGGAAGGGCTTAGCAAAATGCAAATGTCTTGGGCGGTTGTGATCTGTCATTGTTACGGGTTTGCAATAGAGCTTGATAGAGCCACAGGTCTGAAAAGAATGTCCTTTTGTCTCTAGGCTAATTTACGATCTCAGCAGTACTACAGACTGATATATATGGTCTCAGTCAAGAAACACTGGCCCCTTCTTCATCCCCCACTGAGCTTGCAGGGAATTGTTTGCCATCTGCTTGACTCCTTGCAAAAGATTGTCATAATTTCTGACGACATTCCCTCTGGCCAGCCACATGATCAGAAGGGCTTCTTGCAAGCAGAATAGAAAACCCAAAGAATATCTGACCTTCTCCCTGTTACTTGGAAGAGACAGGAGGCCACCAAAGCCATTACTGTTTCGATATCTTTTGTATCTGAACTTCACAGTCTGACTGCTCTATGTGATATCTGTCAGTCTTTGTGGGAGTTTCTCAAATCTTCTGAATGGCCTTCGTACCAGAATGGGATCTCTTGACTCCTCTTAGCATTTAGAATTTACTTAGGTGCCTATTGTAGCATCTAAAACCCAAAGAATGGTGGGTATTTCAAGTTTGTTTGCAGATGTACTAGACTGACTTGCTATAGTGCTGCTGGGGAGAGCTGGCAGCAACGTTCAGCCTGCAAACTAGAGGAGCTGCACCATTAGGAGCAAGTTGGTCCTGCTAGGTACCATAAAAAAATGGCTTGAGTAGGTCCCTTTGTCTTACAGATTTGTTTCTGTACAAATGACTGAACCAAGACGATTGAATTCACATCTAAGATACTGAGAAATTGCTTGAGGCTTTAGCCCAGTTACCTTTTGTTCTGCAGAGCAGATGAGTTGAGTCCCACTCACCTTTCTGCTTAAGTGTCTGAGAGCATTAAGAGTGCTCTGTAACTTCTCCCAGGAGTCCAAGCCAAAATCTCCATGCCCACGATGATGCTGTTGCTTTGTTCTTGTGAAGGAACTGACATCTTGTTCACATGCAAACTTAAGGGGGAAAAAGGAAAGCAAAGAACTCAACAAACATTTTCTTTAAGGAACGGAAGACATGAATGGGCATGTTGTTTGTAAGGGCAGTGTAGCCAATTACACAATATTTTCATTATCTCAGAAACTTGGGGACAGTCTCTTTGATTTGTTATCTGCCTCCATGCTCAGCGTAGCAGCAGAAATGGTGATGTTGATGCAGTCTGTATTGCTGCTGCTGTATTATCACCTTGCTTTGTTGAAACAATAGCAGCTGCTACAGTGCCTCAGGCATCGGAAGACCAGTGCAAGGAGTTATTTTGAACCCTTTCCCATGACCTTTGGAAAATTGCTATGCAAATCTCATCTAGGTTCTTTGTTCCTGGCCTGCAAATACCCTTTCCTGTACTCAGTCTTCTCAAAATATTTCTCTCCCAAGGTGTAAGCCTCTGTGTGTTCAGTCTGAGGTCAGGAGTGCCACTGGATGTTGGGTATGCAGTTGCGGATAGGGACATGTTGTCTGTCAGAGCCACACCCCAAGAGAGCCCCTAGGTGCAGGGTGATGCTGTGGCTTCTCCTCTGATTTGTGTCCAGATGCTGCTGGTCACCTATAACCCACAGGGCGAGCACAGCTAAAGGGCTGGAGACCCTGTCTCCTACCCCACCAATGCTTGAGCTACCAGCTGGAAGACAGGGATGGGGAGGGGACCAAGACATGTGAAACTTGCCAGGACTGTGTTGTCTTTTGGAGGCAGGACATGGGACAGAGGGAGGTAAATATCTTGTCCCCTCTGATGTCTGTTGTGTGCCCACAGAGCAGCTAGGAGCTCAGTTGTGGATGTATCATCAGTGAGAGCAGTTTCCATCCATTGAGCACTTTCGATAACCAAAGCAGGATGGCACTGGCCTCTCTCCACAGCTGAAGCATAAAGGGTAGAGATGGAGAGTTTCTCCAAGTTGAGGTCTGAACCCAGCACAGCCCCTCACACATTTCCCCAAGTCTTGGGGCTAAGGGAGACACAGCAGGTAACTCAGTACTCTGGGACATGGCTGGAGCCTGGGCTGGAGAGAGCTGTTGTCCACAGAAGGCAGGAAGGGCTGGCAGGAGCAGCAGGACCCTGTGGGGGTACTGGTATCCTCTTCCTACTGTCTAAGCAAAACACCATCACAGCTTTACAAATTGTACTCATTTTATTGACTCATTAAGAGAATCTGGGTTCATTTTGACCCTGGGGATAAAGGAGGCTACCTGTGACTCTAGAGTGATATACAAGGGGCCACAGGGACCTAGTCCTCCTAGTATTTCCCCTGTCAGGGCTCCATCCAGAGACAGCATCACTGGGAGTGTTTGGGAGTTGCCAGCAGAGGGAGATGGCCAGCCACTTGCATGCACTGCCAGACTCTCCCAAATCTGACAGGTTGTACTTTCAACCTGCAATTGCTATTCCTCTGGCTTTTCCATTCTGCCAGTCAGCAGAGGTGCATTGGCTCCTCTGATGCCCTTCTGGCTGCATATCTTCATTGCAGCTGAGTACTTGCAACTTCATCATCTCAGGAGTGTGACTGCGCTGGCATTTTATGCAAATGTTTCCAGAACATCAGTCTGAGGTCCTGTGAACACAGGCCTTTTCTAGCTTGATAAATGCTCTGCAGTTTAGAAAAATGCTGCCTGTTTAGAAGTACTCTGGGCTTTTGTGGGTCCACATCTTACTCTTCTGCTTTCTTTCCCCTTTTCATCATTTAGTATGGTGATTCATCTGGATTTTATCCAGACCACTTATTATGGCTTCCTGTTTCAGTGTTGATCCTGATTTTGCAGCTGAACATCTAAAGAAGGGGGCTCTAGCAGCTTCACTTGTCAGAGTTATTCAGCACTCTACAATTTAGGTGCCTTTGGCAGGCATCATTCTTAATATACCTCCATGTCCTTCTTCCATGACAAGAATACTACCCTGCTTGACTAGCATAATGATAGGTAAGACTTAGTGTCTGATCAGCATCCCACAAATGAAGATCCTCATCCTGTAGTGAGACCATGTTTTACAGATTGCCCTGTGGAAATCCCAGTTCATTTGTGCCAGTGAGACAGCTGGTGAGCTGCAAGACTTTGGGCTGTGACTCGGAGGCCTCATGTTGCTGTGAAATCAGGCTGCCTGCTTAACGAGCACACACTGTGCCTGCTTGAATCATAGTATCATAGAATATACTGAGTTAGAAGGGACCCATGAGAATCATCGAGTCCAACTCCTGGCCCTGCACAGGAGAATCACAGCCTATGGCTGAAACTGTTGTCCAAACACTTCTTGAACTCAGACGGGCTTAGTACTGTGACCACTTCCCTGGGGTGCCAGTTCCAGTGCTCAACCACCCTCTGGGTGAAAAACCTTGTCTTGATATGTAACCTAAACCTGTCCCTTGAGGCATGGGAACTCCAGGCTCTCTTTTCTCCTTGCTAGCATCAAATCCCCATCTTCTGTCAGATGCTCTGTATCCCTTATCGCACCGAAAGAGCTGGAGAAATTACTACAGGACTTCCCACAGCAGACAGCTGGGAACTCCCGTGGGAAAAGAGGACATGTTCAAGGATAGAAAACCTATGGAAAATATCTATACATAGGCTAGATATGGTGCATAGGAACTGCTGAAAGTTTCCAGAGGTTTAGATAGACACCTAGAACTTCTAGGGTCTCAGACTCTTAGAATGCATCCCTACCAATACATGAAGCAGTGCCCAGGATCATTCCCAGTTCCTGTTAAAATGTTGTGAAAGAGCCTGGCCTGCTTTTCATCTGTATCAGACAGCAGTCTGCCAGAGTTTCCTGGGCATGTCTCTGTGGTGCAAACAGCAGGGACCATTCCCCATGGGCTATTTGCAGGCAGCAAGCTTGGAAACAGGCCTTTCCATGCTAGTTGTTCTCAGCACTTGGAAGTGTGACTGAGATTTTTAATTTAATACCATAGAGTAACTGCATAGGTAACTGTGATAACAATGACCTTAAAAAGTAGCACAGTTTCTAGAGAAAATTAGCCCTAGGACAAAGCCTTAAATCTTGGGAACTTGGGTGGTCGACTACCTGTAGTTGTGTTAGACTGTCAGCAATGGAGTTGTGATTTAATGTTTTGGTTTTTTTTTTTTAAAAAAACCCTCACTTTTTGGTCCTTTTGTAGGGCTGGGGAGCAGAGTATCATCGCCAAGATGTTACAAGCACGCCCTGCTGGATTGAGATTCACCTGCATGGACCGTTGCAATGGCTGGATAAGGTGCTGACACAGATGGGCTCACCTCACAACCCCATCTCCTCAGTCTCTTAAGAATCATCTCTAGAATTTCTTTAGGATGGATGCTATTGCAGGCAGTGGCTTATAGAATTCCCAGTGAACAGAAGCTTCTATATGTAGATGTATGTAGATGTAAATATATCCATACATAGTCTACTCTTTTTTTTTTTTTTTTCATGCTACATTTTGTGGTTTCTAGTTACTCTGATGCCAGTAAAACAAGTTTAGAAATTCAGGTATAGCATATCTGTTCTCTAGTGCAAAATAAGCCAAATTCCTGCAAAAGTGTCAAACATTTCCTGTGAGCATCTTCATTCCCCAGCAAAGCCAGTAAATGGTGCGATTTCTCAGCACTTTCATGTGGGTTCGGAAACCTGGCTGTAGCTGTTCCTAGTAGGTGAAATTCACCCCTCTGCAGGCAACCAAAGTCAGATCTCTATGCCATTTATATCCATTTTACATCCTAATTTCAGGTCTAAAAGAGGACCTTAGATGGTGCACAGGACTTATGTATAGAGATGACTTTTATCTAGTGAACTGAAGGACTAAATTGCAATTCCAGTCTGACTCCCTACTGCAAAGCATGATGGGACAACAAATCCTCGGAGGAGCTGAGGCACCCACATCTCCCCTAGGATTTGGCAGGAGGAGAGAGCCCTCAGGACACACTCAGCACTGGAGCCTTATCAGAGCATTCTGGACACCTCCAAGTAGTCTGTTACTGTTGACACAGTAGGGTACGGTACTGCTGCACTGAAAAGCAACAAGCTCCTAAGAAAAAATAATAATTGAAATACATGCCTATGAGTTAAAAACCTAATTAACTTCCAGTGCTTTTTTTGCATACATACATACTTGCATATGTATCCGGCATGTAAACTGAATCCTATCCATTATACAGTATTGATGTAGTTTGTTTTAAAGTTAGGACTGTCTGTAGATAGAATACTGTGCTGATATCAAGGGTACACCTCAAAGGGGCTTGAACTGTGATTCAGAAAAGGGAAATGAAGTGTGCATTGAAGAAGCAAAAATTACTTTATCATTCACCTTGGGATAGTCTCCATACTGGGAGTAGGAAGCCCCATGCAATGAGAAGGAGGTGGGAGTCAGCCACATCCATCCCCTGTACTGGGCCAGTCCTTGGGATCTGACTGCGGCACTCGGGTGTGACAGAGAGAGTGCTTCCCTGCCAGCCACACATCGTTCCTCGTCTTAGATACAGGTTCCATCATTTGCTGTGCTTTTGCCTTGCCTGCAGGGGCTGGTGAGGCAGTGTAAGCCGTGAACAAGAGTGAATCGATGTGCAGTGCATCGCTGTGTTCCTTCTGTAAGCAGGAAAAGCTGTTGCCCATATCCTCATCCACAGAGCCAGCCTTGAAAAATGCTGTTCGCTTTGTAACCTTCTTTGAGGAGACAGGTGAAACTCTTAATAGATTTTGATGGTCTCCATCATTTTGCTGAAAGGATCGAGTATTATTTCTTTCAAGGCATAACAGTTCACTGAAAATTGTTTTGCTTTAAGGATCAGAAAAAGTGATACTTTTTGCAGTCTCATTCCTCCATAGAATACACTAGAAGTATCATGAGGAAAAAAAAATGTTTTACAGAATGTTTCTTTTCTTCTCACACAATATCTGGTGCTACACATTTTGCTGCATAATTCGAAGAGGATGCCTGAAATCTTCAGCTATATCACATAGGCAAAGGAAATAACATTCACTGGAAAGACAGTGAGTAAACTAACAGTGTTATTTCATTTCAATGCATCTTCAGCTGCCTGCAGAATTCGCAGAACACAGAAGGATAAATTATTGCTCAGTTTGAGCAGTAATAGCAAGTTGTATATGAAATTTGTACATGCGAAGAACCCTGTTCTGTCATCATTTGACGTCAGCAGTGTCACTGTGAGATAGGAAAAGCTTTACAGTCTCTTGCAGCAATGAAATACAATAATAATATTACACAGAAATTCCAGGAGTGCCATTTACTGTTTAGCAGACTTGAGAGACATCAATTTGAAAAAATGCATTTTCCTCAGCTCCCTCTGTCATCAATGACCCTGTACCAAGGTACTGGTAACATGTTTTTTAGCATGTTTATTGCACCTCTTCTCCAGTAGCACCTTGGCTCTAGGATGAGCACCTTTTCATGTTGCTCATTTCTTTGCTTTCTTTAAGGACAGAGAAAATCCCCTCTTCTGTCTAGGATCTTGCTCTGTCCTTTATCCTAGGTTCTTTCTTGCCTTTTAGGCTGAAACCTCCCTCCCTTCTAATATGGAGAGAAGCTTGTATAGAGAGAAGACATTCCCAGCATTGTCATCTTCCTCACAGAGAGCAAAAAGGAGATGTTCTTAGGTGTATCTGCTCTTGTGCAGCTCCAGAACCCAGTTTTTGCCAATGCTGAAAAACTGGCCAGTGAAGAGAAGCAGGTCCTTTTGAGGCATCATTCATTTCATCATAAGACAGGCATTTCAAGTAGGTGAAACGGTGCTTTGGGCATACTTATGTTTTCCCACTGATTATAAGGGGAACTTGTGTCGTTAGCACAAATGTGGACTGCTACACTGGACGTTCCAAAAGTAGATGAGGTCGACCCTAAGGATGATGTGGTAGCTTTCCCAGCCTAGTAATGATGCTTGCTCAGTTAAGTGTCTGTGTTGTTTGAATAAAAGTTGGTAAAATCAGAGCAGTTCTTTCTTTCCTGTATGTCTACTTTTATAGTAATCCTTATATGAATGGAATTTGGCTTCCATGCAGTCCATACATGCATCTCATTTAAGGCAGTCACCTTAATACTACCTTACTAGTAGGTAAAGAGAAATCTCTGAAGCATGATTCTTCTGACCTATTTAGAACATCTGTATTAGAATGAAATGAATTTCAGCAAATTTAACTATTTGTCGAAAATTGGATCAAAGCACCTGATTCTGGGCAATTGAAGCCAGTGGCCATCCCAGAGTTGTTAGCACTGGAAAGGCTAATATCACTGTGTCAAACTATTTCTTCCTGTTTTGGTGGCCTTTGGGGACATATCCCACCGTGTGAGATGCTGTGCAAACACAGAGAAGCTGACAGCTCCTTTCCAAGTGAAGGGGAGAGCTCACAGTACATGGGAGAAATTATAATAGTGGATGAGGCAAACAAGTAAATAGGAAGATAATCCCTGCCCAGATGCAAAGATAAAAAATAAGGTTATTAAACCATTTATTTCCCTTTCTTTTTGAACAAAGTTTCTTTTACAGGCTTCTCTAGTATATGTGAATTGAACTGGGTTAAAAATTCAGGTTTCTCTTAATCTACAGCAAGGTAACTTGGTATCTCTAATGTCTCCCCAATATGGAAGGAGATATTTGCTGCTGAAAGATCTTCATAAACCTATCCACCTGTAGTCAACTTAAGACTTTTAAATGTATTCATTAATACTCAAACTTTGGAGGGAGTCTTCCTGAGAGATTTAAAACCACTTACAGGGAAACTACAATCAGCCGACCAGGGGTGGAGCTAAGGTCGTTTCCCGGGGATTTAAACTGCTCCAGGGAGCACAAGTGACCCGGAGTGGGCAAACAGGGATGTGGCATGGCAGTTTGCACAGGCAGGGCGAGCAGGAAGAGCACAGCCACCCCTGCAGCTTTGTCTCTGGGTTGTCAGGTAGGTATGTGGCTGTGGTTTATTTGTTTGGTTTTGTTGGTTTCTTTTTTCCTGCAAGTCAATTAGACCCAGCAATGGTTTCCAAATGAGCAAAAGCCATTGCTGCTGCAGTCAGGGGGAGTGTACTAACCCAGACAGAACTCCCCAGGAAGGACACAGCTGTTCTGGTCACTGGCTGCAGTGTGTCTGAGCCTGCTGTTAGTACCAGAGGACAGTGCAAGAGACGCCTGCATACAGTGCGAGCAGGTGAATGATTTGCTTAGTGGCAGAGCTCAAGGAAGAAGTAGAGAGGCTAAGAAGTATTAGGGAGAGTGAAATAGACTGGTGGAGTCACACCCTTTAGACCCCAAAAGAAGTCCCGCAGAAGTCCTGCCCCTCCTGCCATCAGGCAGATGGAGCAAGCCAAGTAGATGGGGGCGAATGGAAACAGGTCCCTGATAAAAGAGGTAAAAGAATCCCCTCCTGACCCCCATCACCTACCCAGGTGCCCTTAAAGAACAGGTATGAGGCCCTGGACCCAGACAGTCAGGCAGAGGGCAGTCAAGAAGAGGATCTGTCTGAAAGGTCTCCTGGTTGCACCCTGTCTACCAGACAGATCACAACTACAGCTATAAAGAAAAAAGGGTAGTTGTAGTAGGCGACTCCCTTTTGAGGGGAGCGGAAGGCCCTATATGCCAACCAGACCCATCCCACAGGGAAGTCTGGTGACTTCAGCCTGTAACTTGTCAGGGCTGATCAGGAGGGCTTTCAACTAGGTTTGAAGGGGGAAGGGGTTGAAACCAGGCTCGTCAGAGATGAGCCTAAGGGTAGAAAGCCCAAGTTGAGAGTGATAGCAGCAGCCCAGCTGAAGTGCACGTACATCAATGCACACAGTATGGGTAACAAGCAAGAGGAGCTGGTGGAAGAGCTTGCCAACCTTCTCTCCATCATTTACCAGCAGTCCTGGCTCATCGGGGAGGTCCCAGATGATTGGAAGTTGGTGACTGTCACGCCAATCCACAAAAAGGGCTGCAAGGAAGACCCGGGAAACTACAGGCCTGTCAGCCTGACCTCAGTGCGTGGCAAGGTTATGGGGCAGATCATCCTGAGTGCAATCCCACAGCAGCTACAGGATGGACAACCCAGCCAGTAAAGGTTTAGGAGGGGCAGGTCCTGTCTGACCAACCTGATCTCCTTTTATGATCAAGTGACCCGCCTGGTGGATGAGAGGAAGGCTGTGGATGTGCTTTGTCTGGACTCTGACACCATCTCCCACAGCATACTCCTGGAAAAACTGGCAGCCCATGGCTTGGACAGGGGCACTCTGTGCTGGGTCAGGAACTGGCTGGAGGGCCGGGCCCAGAGAGTGCTGGTGAACGGGGCTGCATCCAGTTGGCAGCCGGTCACCAGTGGTGTTCCCCAGGGATCAGTGCTGGGCCCAGTCCTGTTTAACATCTTTACTGATTATCTGGATGAGGGGACTGAGTGTACCATTAGCAAATTTACAGATGACACCAAGCTGGGGAAGAGTGTTGATCTGCTAGAAGGCAGGAGGGCCCTTCAGAGAGATCTGGACAAACTGGAGAGAGGATCTGATTCCAACGGGATGAAGTTCAACAAGGCCAAGTGCCGGGTCCTGCACTTTGGCCACAACAACCCCCTGCAGCACTACAGGCTGGGCACAGAGTGGCTGAAGAGCAGCCAGGCAGAAAGGGACCTGGGAGTTTGGATTGACAGGAGGCTGAACATGAGCCAGCAGTGTGCCCAGGTAGCCAAGAAGGCCAATGGCATCCTGGCCTGTATCAGGAACAGTGTGGCCAGCAGGAGCAGGGAAGTGATCCTTCCCCTGTACTCAGCACTGGTGAGGTCACACCTGAAGTGCTGTGTCCAGTTTTGGGCCCCTCGGATCAGGAAGGATATTGAGGTGCTGGAGCGGGTCCAGAGAAGAGCAACCAGGCTGGTGAAGGGACTTGAACACAAGTCCTACAAGGAGAGGCTGAGGGAGCTGGGGTTGTTTAGTCTGGAGGAGGCTCAGGGGAGACCTCATCACTACAACTACCTGAAAGGAGGTTGTAGCCAGGTGGGGGTCGGTCTCTTCTCCTAGGCAACCAACAGTAGGACAAGAGGGCACGGTCTTAAGTTCTGCAAGGGGAGGTTTAGGTTGAATATTAGGAAGAAATTCTTTATAGAGAGGGTATTCAGGCGTTGGAATGGGCTGCCCAGGGAGGTAGTGGCTTCTCTGTCCCTGAGGTTTCTAAGATGAGACTGGATGTGGCACTTAGTGCCATGGTCTAGTAACCATGGCAGTGTTGGATTAAGGGTTGAACTTAATGATCTCAGAGGTGTTTTCCAACCCAGTTGATTCTCTGATTCTATGATAAAAGGGAACTGTGACCCAAAGTAACACAAGCTGGAGTTGAGGAAATTCCTTCCATGTCTCCAGCAGTTACTGTGTCAAGACTTTTACCATCCTGAGCAACCTTCTCCATGTGGTCCTTGTCTTGAGCAGGGCATCAGACTTGATGCCTGCTGAGATCTCTTCCAATATACATTATCCCATGGAGACTTAGTGATAACTAGTTGCCACAGGAAGGAGCTCTGTTAGGAGGGACAGTTTCAGGATGAAGCATTTTTATCCTCAGCTATTTCTGCATGAGTTCAGTGCAGGAGAGAGTTAAGAGGTATTAATGTTTCTCAGCATAAAATCAACACTGCGAACATCTCTCACTGTAAATATCACCTCCACCATGCCACTCTTAAAATGCAGAAAATAAGGCATTTGTGACTGTACCTTTATCTAATCTGCCCTAGTTCTTCCTGGTTTACAATATCCACCTTTGTCTATCAGCTCTACAAGTCAGTCTCATAACTGACTGAGGAGTTTACAGCTGGATTTACAGTAGCAGCTCAGGCAGAGACTGTTTGCTTCTTTGGGTGGAAATAGTTTATAAAGAAGCCTGACAGAATTTAGTAACTTCGAAGGAGTCTCAAGTACAAGACTAATTTTCTTGGATCAAGACTTCTCTAGTGCAACTATACCTTTCAGGAATGCTTGAGCACTACATGGTACTCAGCACAGGAAAGAAACATTACACCCTCTGTACTATTCACCTCTTCCCCTGGCTCCCCATAATCTAACTTAGTAAAACCAAAAACAAACACAACAAAAAAGAGGTTAATGAGTCGTAACTAAACATACCATTTTTGCAAGGTTGAGAAGTGCTGCCTAGAATGTAGGTTTATATCATCAGGCAGCCATGTAATGATAGGACATGGCTTTAAGCTGAAAGAGGGTGGCTTTAGTTTCGATATTAGGAAACAATTCTTTACTGTGAGGGTGGTGAGGCACTAGCAAAGATTGCCCAGAGAAGCTGTAGATGCCCCATCCCTGAAAGTGTCCATGGCCAGGTTGGATGGCGCTTTGAGCAACCTGGTCTAGAGGAAAAGTGTCCCCGCCCATGGCAGGCTGTTAGGACTTGATCATCTTTAAAGGTCCCTTCCAACCCAAACCATTTGATGATGTTGAAGTCCCACATGCTCCCCAAGCCAAAGGGAGCTTCTTGTTTTGGAGAAACCTGGAGAGCAGACTGTTGCTTGGACGTCTGAACCCAAACCCTTTTGGGTGAGTGGAAACCCCACTGAAGGAGCTGAGATTTTTATAGAGGATTTACAATTCGTGGTTGTTTAAGTAGCCAGAAATGCACTGAGATGCTGAAGAGACTGAGGAGGAGGGAGCATATGGCCAGCTAAGCTCAGTGGTCATTGCCAGAGGTACCAAGGCAGTGTGTGCTCAGGCAGCTGTTGTGTTCACTAGAACTTTTTACATTCACATCTAACCAAATTGTCAAGACCTGTTTTAGGAGCAGCTTGGAGTATGACAATCCTTGCTATGGTTCTTCCTGTAAATCCAGCCTGTGTGAGTGTGCCAGATTACCGATTAAGCCATTCAATATGTTGGGGCAAATGGTGTCCCATGTAATCCACAGAGCAGGCTCTGGTTGCATCTGGGTACTGCACTTGAAAGGTTATCCTCTGCCTTGCTGCTACACCAATGAGTTCAGTTCTGGGGCAAGTGTTCAAGGATAATACCAGTACATCCAGTGTGTGCTCCTCAAAGAAAGATGCAGTCTGAACAGAAACTGCACGACTGAAAGACGTGGTCTATATAAAAGCATCTACCTGGGAACTGTGATAAACCAACTCACTTCATGCATAGATGGGAAATTACAGTGCCCAAAGGAAAATGTAGTCAACAGGAACTTTCATGGGAACTCACATTCTTATCAGTACCTAAGAATGGACAAATGTGCTTCCTTGAGAGTGACTAAGAGGTCAGCTCACCATCAAAAAAGATCTTGCAGC